AAATAAATTAAACATATTTTACAAAGATTTTATTAATAAAATAAAATAATTTAATAAATTAAATAAAATAAAATGAAAACTAAAGCTAATACAGATAATTGTATGTAAGGCAAAAGTTTTTTTTTTATGTTAAACTTTTTATTGGAAACTTTGAAATTATTTAAAAACCGATTCGAAAAAATAAAAAAATTATTAATTATTGTGAGTTATTGATTGATTGTGTTATTTTTATATTTAAAATAATCATTTATCATCATAATAATGATTTAAATAATATTTTGATAAGGGAAAATAAAAAATCATATCAAATTGATAAAAAAACGTGCGTAAAACAAAAAATTTTCTTCTCTTTTTTGCATAAATATATTTAAAAAAAATTTTTGTGTGATTGACTCCCCAAAAAAAAAATATATATATATATTTTAAATTTAAAATAAAAAGTTTTAAACATGAATAATTCAATTGAAATCGTTTAAAAGAGGAAAAATCAATTTTTTTTCCTCCCCTTCCCTCCCCTCCCGTCTTCCCTAGCCCCCGTCTCCGCTCCCGTTCCCGTTCCCGTTCCCCTGGAGCCCGAATTATTATAAAAATTAAATTTTATTTTTTTTCCCTCTCTCTCTCTCTTGTAAGGTTTTTTGTAAATAAATACATGATCGAATAATTTTTTTTTTAACCTTTGACCCCTTACATTTCGATATTTATTTATTTCGATGAGGGAAAAACCCTAAAAACTTTCACGAAAATACGAGAAGGAGGATGGGAGGGCGGGGAAAAGGGGGAAGGAGGAGTAGTGGGAAACGTAAAACATTTTTCATAAAAACTCAACGAAAAAAAAAATAAAATAAAATTTTTTGAAAAATTAAAAAAGTTGAGGAGACATTATTATTTTTGTTTCGTCGTCATTACTTCCAGGTGGTTTTAAAAATAATAATAATAATCCAGTATTTAATATTTTCAATAAAGTAACCGTTATATTTGTTAAAACTTTTCCCCCTTCCCTCCCCTCCCATTCCCAACCCACACGTTAATAAATCCCACAAGGAAAAGTAACAGCTTTAATCACAAACTATTATTATTATTATTATTATTATTTACCGTAGTTTGTATTTATGTCAATTTTTTTTTTTTATGCATCGTTTGAAAATTTTTTTTTTTTTTATTCTCGTTTAAAATAAGTTTATTATTATTATTATTTAAAGTCGTAGGATGTTTGTTATGAACGTTTTATATAGGAATATATAATAATAATAATAGTAAAATATTAACGATCCGAATAAAAAGGAAAAAGAGAAAAAAAAAGGAAAAAATTATGAGGGAAAATAACGGTTTTTTTTGTTCCATTTCGAATTTATTCGAAATGATTACGAAATCGATTAATTTTTTTCTAACTTGTTTTTCTTATATTTTTTTCTAGTAAAAAAATTAAAAAATTTTTTTTTACGATTGTGTTTATCTGTGAAAGATAAATAGGGATGAAAACGATGATGATGATGATGATCTTTTTCTGTTAACTCCGGAAAACTCGTAAAAAAAAAAACAGGATAGCCATTTTAAATCGTTAAAATTTTCCCCCTTATTTTTTTTTTTGTTTGTTTGTTAGATCTCTTCTTCTCTAGTTATTTTTTTTTTAAAAAAAAAACTTTTTTTATATACACACGATTTCGAAAAAAAAAAAAAGCAGAAAAATGATTTCCCGGGGAGGCAAACAATAATAAATCACGATTCTTCCCAAATGCATAATAAAATTAAACTTTATCATACATACGAGTAGTAGACATTTTTCCTTTTTTTTTTTTTTTGAATTTTTACGTGAGAATTGTTTTTAAATTTTTCATAAATTATTATTATTATTATTATTAAAATAAGAAAAATTCTAATAATAATAATAATAAAAGGAACAAATTTTTTATTAAAGATTATTTTGTAAAAAAAAAAAAAAAAATTTACTCATTTGTTTCCTTTTTTTTCTTTTTTTCTTTTGAAATATTTATTTACCAAAACCGGAAATGAGTTTTTTTTTTTTTTTTTATTATTAATCTCTCAAAGATTAAAAAATATTATTATTCATTTTACAACAAAAAAACAAAAACAAAAAGAAAATATCATTTTTCTAATTAAAATAAATCAATTATAAATGCAACAAACAATTTTAAAAAAGAAAATTTTTTCCCTATTTTTCCTCCTGATTTTAAATTAATTTAATGAAAATATAAATATATTATTAATTGTTTTTATCGAAAATCATTTTCTAATTTATATTATCCTAAAACAACGAATAATAATAATAATAATTAAAAAATGATTTATTATATTTTAGTTTCCGCGTCGTAAAAAACAAAAAAAAAATTTTAACGGTTTTTTTTTTTTTTAAATAATTATTATTATTTCCGTTTTCATCATCATCATTTTTTTTT